CCTTTCACAATGGAATTCCTTTGGTCTTAGGCTTCAAATAACTCGAACAAAAAAAAAATCCTCTGCTGTTAGCTAGTTCTGATTTGGAGAGCTGAACTTTTAAAGAGAACAGAACTCTCCTGGAGAAATCATTCCCAAGACTGTAAATCAATACAGGGCACTCAACTTATACAGTAAGAGCCCAAGTGGAGCACCTGGTGGAATTAGTAGCTTAACCTACAGTGCCAGCAAGGCAGCACAACGTCTAAGGCTTCTTCTAACACATATTTGCTCCCAGGTGCTAAGGAGGTACTTTGAGCAGTAGGCTCTGTCTGCACTCTGAGAAGAACAGGCATATCAGGACCTCTTCACGCCCTCAACACGACAGCCAAAGACCAAATTTGAAAACCAGAGCCCTACTTATCTGAATGCAAAAATGTTGACCAGGTAGCTAAAACTTTAGAAAGAGGGGAGGTAGGGTCTTTCTACACAAACACAGAGACTTCTAGTTTCTTCAGGAAAAGCAGGTCGTCTTGCTTCCGAAGACCGACATGTTGTTGTTGTTATGTGCCGTTGAGTTAACTGCAATTCAAAGTTACCCTATGTACAACAGCACTAAATCCTGCTCTATCCTGTGCCAATCTCACTGTCTTCGACATACCTATCCTAATAAGCCCTGTCACTCAATCAATCTACCTCATAGAGGGTCTTCCTCTCCTGCGCTGCTCCTCCACCCTCCCAAGCATGACATCCTTCTCCAAGGACTGGTCCCTCCTTGCAACATGTCCAAAGTATGTCAGATGAAGCTTCAGCATCTTTACCTCCAAAGAGCAGCCTGGTTTAAACTTCTCCAGAACAAATCTGTTCGTTTTCTTAGAGTCTATGGTATATTCAGTACTCTACTCCTAGACCACGGCTCAAAGGCATCAATTCTCATTCTATCCTCCCTAGGCATTGTCCAGCTCTCTGACACACAGCAAGTGACTGCAAAGTCTCCAGAGTGTATGAGGAGAAGTGTGGTGTCAGGATTGGTGGAAGATTCATCAACAATCTGCATTATGCAGATGACACAACCCTGCTTGCTGAAACAGAGGAGGACCTGAAGACCCACATACCTCTACATAAAAATCAGCCTCAGACATAAACAACATTGAACACTGGACTTCCAAGTTTGAAGGCTTAAGCCATAAACATCCTGGTTTGACTAAGCCACCTGGTATAACAGAGGTCACAAAAGAGTAATGATTTGCATCCGAGGGAAGGGAGGAGCATCTGGGTTTGAAAAGCTCCTAAGTGGTCATCTAAGACACAGCTACAGGTCTCTCCCCTCTGGAAGTGAAACACGACAAAGGTAACCAGAAACTCAGAGAGGACACAAGTCTGCGTGAGACACAGGCCAGCCGGATGGTGTCCAGCTACCCAATCCCACCACTGACTGCCTGACCAAGGTCACAACAGAATGGGTCCAAAATATGGAGAACTCTAATTCAGATTCAAAAAACAAACAAATAGACAGCATGGGCTAGAAGAGAACAGAGGATTCCCTGAGACCACTGACTACTTTAAACCTAGCACTGAGCCCATGCCAAAATCACCCTTTAGCAAAGCGAAGGGTGCCTTTAATGGTATATGATCAAAAAAGGGTATATGATCCATGAGATCAGGGAGCTCTGGGGGCTTAGTGGGGGGGCAGGGCAGAGCAACTGCTTCTATCACTGAGTCACCAGAGCACCCTATATTTTAGATATAAAAGGTAAAGACTTTAGAAATAAGTTCACAGAACTAAAGGAAATTATGTAAAAAAGCATACTACAGTAATCAAACAGTCTGGCACTGGTTCAAAGACAGAATAGGCAACTGATTTTTGACAAGGATGCCACATCCATGCAATGGAAAAAGCACAGTCTCTTCATATTTCTTCATAAATGATGTCTGGCATATTAGGATGGGTAAAGGGAAAGCCAGTATACAATAAGGGATTGATCAACAAAATATCATGAAAGGGAAGCCAGAATGACATGACTTAGACGAACGATTCTTAGGTATAACATGAAAAGCACAAGCAACACGAGAACTAATAGGTAGGTTGGACTTTATGAAAATTATTTGTTTTAAAGAAAACACACAAGAAAATGAGAAGTTAACAGAATAAAAAAATATTTCCAAATTATGTATCTGATAAGGACTTTGAACAAGATTATACAAAAAATATTTTTCAAATTGACAATTAAAAAAACTCCAACAACTCAATTAAAAAAATCAAATAACTCATAAAAAATAACATTCCTTTGTTAAGACAATCACTGGATGCAAAAAGTCAGAGGATGACACTTTTGAAGTATGGCTAAAAAAAATCTACACCAAGAATAAGAAGAGATGGCTGTGCTTCCTGGTTATTCCATGAGATTCTCCATGACCAGATCCCCAACTTTATTTCTGCATCCCTAACTTTAAGGCTAGGTTGCTGCCAAGGTCAGTTTCAATTTTAGCTTCTCTGACATCAGGGAGGTGGTTTAACTTATGATAGCAGATCTGCAAGAACAGGTAATGCTCAAAGCCAGGTTTGTCCTGCTCACTCGTGACTCAATCGGAATCCCTCCCTTACACCAAACCCCGAGTCACCCTGGGCCTCTCTCAAGCCCACAGAAAGTCTGATTACGTGCTGATACGACACATACACTTGGTAAGCACCCCTTTAACAAAACGAAGAAAGGGGTTAGGTTGAGAGGAAGCCAGAGGCAACAGCACAGCTGAAATGTCCCAGTACTGCTGGGGATCAGAGCTACTGTAGTTGTAATCACCTACATTCATCTCTCATGAGAGCAGTTTTATTATACAGTGGTGAGTTCCTCTGAAATTGCTAATTTTTCATAACTGCATAATAACCCATCATGCAAATTTTTGTACATTTCAGGTTTTCTCTTTTCTTGAAAACAAAACAAAATAAACATAAAAAGTTTCTAAGAAGAAAATAGCTAAGCTCAAGTGACTAATTTCATTAAAACGAATCAGCCTACGCAGCAACACAGAAAAGACAATACAGGATAAAATGATTGTGTGTGGTTCAGGGAGTACTTAACAGGACTTTTTCCAGCCCCTTTGTAATTCTCACCAAGTGAGTGGGTCAAACTCAAACCCATTGCTGATGAGTTGAAATCGACTCATATTTGGCCCTTTGCTGGGTTTCTAAGATTATAAATTGAACTGGAAGAGACTATTTGTTCTTTCTCCTCAGTGCTACTGGTGGATTTGAGATTCCAGAAAGGCTTGGCCTTTGAATTAGCGGTACAGTTCCCCATGGACAGCACTTCCAGAGGTTGTTAAGTGACTGGTCAGACTATGCAAACCCGAAGTGTTTGTGGCGCACCAAGGGGATTAGATGGCTTATTAATAATGAAAATAAAATGCACACCACTCATGAGGGTGGGACCACACAACTAATGTGTTTAAAATCTTAACGAGGGTATTGATTAGTTTTGCCATCCCACAAGGCTTGGAAGGCTCCACTTCAAAGGCAGAATATGGGGATCTTTGCTACCATCAAAAGAGAGGAGCCAGAGAATGAAGCACATCTTTTGGAGCTGATGTCCCTGTGACTATCAGAGACAGAGAATTCTAATACCAAAGAGAAGATGCTAGACTATGAGATGGCATGAGAAAGGATGGCGGCAGCAGACAAGGCAGAAACCATGGACTGGTGTGAGACAGAGCTGAGGGCTCATGAAGTGAGAAAGAGGAGAACTTAGTGGTGGGATGGATTTGCTTGGAAGAGTTAGGCTTATCAGCCCCCCTAGGCACCTCTGGGCCTACGATGATTGGGAGAACAGGGTGCCACTAGGCACAGAGCTGGCAGAGCTAGGAGAGCAAGGCTGAATACCAGCAAGAAGCCTGCCTATGAACAGCCTGAGAAGAAGTGGTCCTGAGTGAAGGGCTGTATCCTGAATATTCCCAAACCTGAACTGTAACCCATGATCTTCCTAATAAATCCCATGATCGTAAGTGTTGTCTGTGAGTTCTGTGTAGCCATTGCAATGAATTATCAAACTCAGTAGAAAAGTAGTGAATGTTGCAAGGACAGCTGGTGCTTGCAATGGTTAGAGCGAGGAGCATGAGGGGATGTCTGACTTGACAGGAACGGAATGGATGGGCACAGCTAAGGCAACATTTTCAAGAACAGAGAGGGTCAGAAATAAACAGGGAAAAGCATCAAAAGGTGCTATGTCTTTTAAAAATAATTTCTTTATGCTCGTTGTGATATTGTCTATAAAACAATATTTTAATTTGGGAAATTAACAATGAATGAGGGTGAAGAGTGACTTGATGAAGGTAAACAGTGTCACTAAAAAGGCCACAAGAAAAAGAACCTTTTGGTACTTGTTATGGCATATGTTATTTTGAAACAATAAAAAAATTCTATGTGAATATATTCATTTGTAGGCATATATGTCTACAGGTATGTAGTTGTGTGTGCATGCATAGGTGTATGCATATGTATATGAATTTCTGCGACTTTACGCTAGTGTAGCTCTGGTGGCTTAGTGGTAAGGAGCTGTGCTGCAAATCCAAAGGCACAAAGTTCAAATCCACCGGCAGCGCCATGTTGGTGGTATAGTGGTGAGCATAGCTGCCTTCCAAATGCACCAGCAGCTCTCTGCTGGAGAGATGGGCAATCTTCCTGTGAGACATACTACCTTTGAAAACCTGCTGAAGGTCAGCTATGTTCTAATTAGATGGTAAACAACAACAGCCCATTAACCATCTGCATCATCTAGAGAGACTCCAGATAATCTTAGGTGCCATTGAGTCACCTATGACTTATAGTGACCCTATGAATAATGGATCTGAGCTTTGCCCTATTGTACGTCATCCTCATCATTCCTAATATACTTGAGCCCACTGCCAGATGATCTAAAGATCTTGCTAATTACAGTCTGTATTATTAAGGGTCTGTTTTTAAAACAATTGTTCCATTAAGCCCACAACAGCCCACGTAAGGAACAAGAATGTTTGCCTGTCCTCACCGTGGCGATGCCCCTGGTCTCCTGGTAGGTCACTTTGATGATGTCTGAGATGCTGGTGTTGAGGAAAAAGTAGCCAGAGCCTCCTCTGATGTGGAGTTCCACCTGTGATGGCAAGATGTGGGACGATTCAGGTCTGTGGTCATACATGGCCTCCCAGGCAGTGTGGGGCAGGGAACAGAGCAGCTCTACCTGGACTCCAGGGTGGTTGTAGATGGTCACTTCCTTTGGATTCACTCTCACATCTTCTACCAGAATCAGCTCAATGGAGGCTGACACTGGTAAGAGAGGATCATACTGCAAAGACAAGGTCAAACTCATCAGACCCAGACATCAGGTCCAGTACTAGGCTGGCCTGTAGGACCCTTCAGAGAGCAGTAGGTCACATGCTTGGATGTGCTACTTTCTGGACACAAACCCCCAAAGGCATCATCTCCTGAGTCCAAAGAAAGGGGTACTTGTACATGCTCTTGGAGGTGTCCCTGGAGACCACCAAGGCTAAGTGAATGTCTTACCCTCCATGCTCACTAGAAGGAGAAGGTATCACTGGTGCTACCTAGACACCACTCTATTCTACCCTCTGAGGTCCTAAGAGCTGTGATGGCAAGTGATTCTCAAGAATGCTTTTTGTGTTTACTAATTTTATATGTGGACTTGGGTAAGTATGCTGCCTAGTGGTCTGGTCAAACACTATTCTAATTGCTTTTACAGTGTGTAGCTGCCCTGGTGCAAAGAGGCAGAATGGGTGGGGAGGGATGCATTTGCATCCCACAGGGAAGTGCAAGGGTGTGAGGGTTTTGAGTCACACAGACAGGAAGCATAAGACCTCAGGTTGTGGAAGAAGTCCTGCCCCAGTGCTCAGGAAAGACTCCCCTGGGGGTGAGAGTTTTAGCTGGTACTGGTAGACAGAGGATATCAGTTCAGGCAAGAGAACAGCAGGTTTAAAAGTCTGGTGCTACAAAGCATTGGACACCCTTGGTGGGGATCTGTAGGACAGGGTGTGGGAGGAAAGATGGACAGGTAAATCTTGACTGAAAATAAGGATGTAGGTCCTTCATAAAGGTCCTGAGGACAACTACAGGTGGTAGGCCAACGCTGGGAGGTGCAGATTGGTTTGTGCCATGGATCACCCCATAGGCTGAGTGAAGGACTGGTGACCAGGAAGGGGGCCCAGAATTCAGATGAACAGTGGTGAACTGAGGGCTGTAGGGCAGAGAGGTTGATCAGGACCCTCAGATACTAAGTAAAATTTGTGCAGAAGTAGGATGACTCCCGGCTCCCCACTGGTGTGGCCATGAGATACCGGCAGCTTCGTTCTGGCTGCGCTGAGGTGAGACTGCTGGTAGCCTGTCACAGTGGCAGAGATGGATGTAGTTCCCGAAGCCTCATGCACCAAGATGGCCTGCAAACCTAGGTCCGGGATGAGAAATCAATGTTTCGTTTCTGCTGCCTTTGAAACAGTCCCTCCCTTCCACCTTATGAGACATTTCAAATTTCCAGTCCTCAGAAGATAGTTGTTGAGATGGTTTATGCATTAGAGTTCACGGAGCTGAGCAAACCTCCATGGAGCAACTAAGATGAGCTCATGGTGATGGACTCAAGTCTGGGCTGCTCAAGGGTCTAGAAGGTGGCATTTTATGAAGCAGCCCAGGTGGTACAGCTCAGGTGGATGGTCTACGAAATCTGAGACTGGGTTAGGTGTCCCAAGCCTCAGCTTTCCCATTCCTGATAGGAATACCAATCCCTACCTCACACTACTTCTATGCCTAACTCAATCAGACCCAGGAGCTCGTAGGGCTCCCAACCGTCAGTTCTAGATAAAGTCAAGACCAGATTTCAAATCACTGTCCATACACCTGGATGACACCTGCCCACTTAGCATACTTTTGGTTTACTTGTGACTTTCATTACTCTCCTTCTCCTCCTTCCAGGGCCACCCAAGTTCACTAGCCCAGCGTACCATGCAGCTTCTTCTGGCCGCTCCCATCATCCTGGGACACCAGCTGCATGGGTAGGCTGAGCTCAATGCTGGCCAAAAGCGGCTTGGTGGATTCCCATTGGATGTTCAGAGAGCTGAAGTTGTCAAATCGGCGGCCCTGCTGGTCGTAGGCAGCCAGGTTGAGCAGAGGGCTGCGGTGGTTGGAGACAGGCACCTGAAAGAAGGCAAACATCAGATATCAAAACCATGGCCTGCACTGGGCGTATCTATTCTGATTTTAATACATAATATTTTATTGTGCTTTCAGTGAAGGTATACACAAAAGTTAAGTTTTCCACTCAACAATTCCTACACAACTTGTTTAGTGACATTCGTTACATACTTCACAATATGGGGACACTCTCCATATTTATGTTTTCAAGAATTTAGTTTAAAGTTCCTCTCATAGGGACATCACATTTGGAAGGGTGGAGGGACAGCGCGAGAGGAAGACTCCGGATAAGATGGATTGACTCAATGACTGGCGTTCTGTGGGTAAGTGTCAGAGAAAGAAATTGGCTCAAGATAGCAGGGTTCAGAGCTGCTGCACACAGGGTTGCTATGAACTGCAAGTGACTGGATGGCACATGACAACAACAACAACTAGTTAGTCACTTTTCACAAATTTAATATGGTACCACTTTAAGCAAAATTTTAAAAGCTTGCACTTATATAGTTTCATAAATCATCCCATCTCCCAATATTCTATGTGCTATATGTATAATATGTACTGTAACAACCTATATTGTAAACCATACAAGATATTATAAATTTTCTTTTAGGTAATAATACATGTTTTAAATAAATTAAGATGACCAAAAAAGCCAAAACAAAACAAAACCCAACTTCCTCTCATGATCTCATCTTTGTTTTAAGGTAATTGTTGACTGTTTGGTTTCATATAGATGGTTTTTTTAAAAGGTCTGCAGTACCTATTGGTGATATTTTTTGAGAGTTCACCTATTATGTTGTTAAAAGATGATGTTAGGATGGTTTTGGTTCAAGGTGTGAAGAATTTTCAGGGCCGCAGTCCTGAAACGTCTTTCAGTCTCAACCGGAGCGGTAAGCTTGGTTTTGCAAAATGTAAGGCTCTTTTTCACATTTCCCCCTCCTTCTTTCAGGGTGCATCTATTAAGGCTCTAACTGGGGGAATATCTGCTCTTGACTACCTGGTGTACCCTGAGCCTGTCCAGTTGCTTCTTAGTGGGAACCTTGTGGGGTTCTAGTCAGAGAGTGGGAAGGCCTCACTCTAACGAGTGAATGAGTCACTCTAACTACCACCTAACTCACCAGCAAGGTTTCCTTTGACCACCTTCAACCCAGCCTCAATTCAGGCCTTTTTTTTTCTGCTTAAAGAACATTTAAAATGTCTAGAGGCAGTTTTGATGGTCATAAGACAGGAGAGAATGTTACTGGAATCTAGTGGGTAGTCACCAGGGAGGCTATTAAACATCTGGCAGCGCCCAGGACTGCCCCACAGCAAAGGATGATCCAGCCCACAGCGTCAGGGGTACCACTACTCAGAGACCCTAACGCAGCATCCCCTGAGGCCTGTCTCTTCCCCTTCCGATCTCCCTCCCCATCCACAGCCCACACACACCTAGCTCCTGCCGGAAGTCTCCCTTGCTGGTTCAGTTTGAATGCCAATTACAGTAACTAAAATTTCTCTGAGCCTTTCTGTTTGCGAAACTCCTTTCAGAGCTGATTTCTCAACTGATCCTTAAAATAACTCAGTGAAGCAGGAGTTGTCATCTCCAGACTGGGGAACAGGAAGGAGACTGTGGCAAGGGAAGGAAAGGAACTCATGAAGGGCCTCGGCTGGGGGCACAGACCTTGGGCAGTAAACGTTCTTGACTCACACAGTAGATGGCATGGGTGGAGGGACCACAGGGCAGCAGAGCAGAGGGCTAAGTGTATAGCTAGGCGCCACAGCATGGTACACGTCAGCTCCCCTCTCAATATCTGTGTACATTTAACTCCTGAGCCTTAGTTTTCCCATCTGTTAAGTGGGAAACACATGGATTCTACCTTACACAACTTTTTGCTTTGAACTAGATTGTGTGAACTCATCTTAAAGAGTCAGGGCTGTTGTGGGCAAGGATCCTATGTGGCCCTCATTAGCATGGTCCACAAGCATTTCCAGTCTCCTCCCAGGCCCAGCTCAGTTAAGAGGGGCTGTATTTCTCTAACCTGTGGGGTAAGTGGTGACCTTACCACTTGCCTGGTCAGAGTAACGAGGCCCATGACTTGTCGTGACTCCAAGTGGAAGCTCTAAGGGTTCAAGCATGACTGTCAGCCTTACTTTCTCTCCATGTCCTACATGGTGGCTGCTCCATGGTCCAAGTCCCAGAATAAAAATGAGCAATGGCACGCTCCAGGTGAGTATGCAGCAGACAGGCCAAGTCTGTCCTGACCACAGTCACCAAACTGCATACCTCCACCATGAGATTCCTCTCCTATTCTCTGAAGCTCTCCCACCTCTCTAAGGTGCCAAAAACACAAATTTCATGAAAATGACACACATTCTGAACATGCATCTTCCTAATTCAAGCCAGAATACCCACCCTGACAAAGGCTTCTATACTTATTCTTGGCATGACTTGGCAAGATGTAACTAGGCGGCAGGGACCACAAGGGACATACTGTAGATGTCATATTCTATTCTCCAGAAGCACTCAGGAATCCCTTTCCCTGCTTCTCCAATAGTTTTCAGATGCCATCATGTCCAGTCTAACTCACTGGGACCTGATGGAAGTGTAACAGAATGCAACCCAGCTGAGGCCCACAACATCCACACAACCCACGCTGTGTCCACGCTCACGGCTGCGGCAACCCAGCTGAGGCCCACAACATCCACACAACCCACACTGTGTCCACCCTCAGCTGCTGCAACCCTGCAGAGGCTCACAACACTCACACAACCCACGCTGTGTCCACGTTCACGGCTGCTGCAACCCGGCTGAGGCCCACAACATCCATACAACCCACGCTGTGTCCACGCTCACAGCTGCTGCAACCCTGCTGAGGCCCACAACATCCACACAACCCACGCTGTGTCCACACTCAGCTGCTGCAACCCTGCAGAGGCTCACAACATCCACACAACCCACACTGTGTCCACGCTCACAGCTGTTGCAACCCTGCAGAGGCTCACAACACTCACACAACCCATGCTGTGTCCACGCTCACGGCTGCTGCAACCCTGCTGAGGCCCACAACATCCACACAACCCACGCTGTGTCCACGCTCACGGCTGCTGCAACCCTG